GAGCTCTAATTTTCTTTGCTGTTAATACAGCTCAATTAGCTCAATGAGAGGAAAATGATTTGTTTCAAGAAGAAGAGACCTAACGCTATTGTAAATACGTCCACTGTCTTGAACAAAGCCTCTCTAGGCAATGCTGTCTCCATGGAATGGCAGCAATACCTCCTCCACTCCAAGAAGAGAAGGCTGCCAGCTAAAGATATAGTTTCTAACACATTGCATCACTCCTGCCTACTCTGAAAGATCAGTCCACTAAATACTCATTCAAGACTCTTGCAGCAGGCGGTCCTGTGCTAATGGGTAGTATCTGAAAAGCCAAATATACTTCCCAGACTCCCTTGCAGCAAGATTTGTAAGCAGTTATGTTTAAATGAGATATGGAGGTGTGCATGACACACGGACAACTCACAACAGGGACCAAACTGGAGGTATTAGATATTTACATACACATACAGGGTGGGGAAGGTAGAAGGGCCTGATTTGGTGAGTGAGCTATGAAGGACTTTTCAGGCTCGGAGTCATTGCATTCTATTCACTGAGTATCAGGGGGTAATTTCAGCAGGATGTTTGCTAAAACAATCCCATGTGGTGTAGTTAGATATTTCCCCTGAATCTGTTGCCTTTGGCTGTATTTTACTGACCTTGCACTATCCAAGCCAGATCCCCTGGGCTCCTGGGGAGTCTTTGAACTATATAATACCTTTGAATAAACTCCCTTGTGCTTAGCCAACTGGTGTGGATCTTGACGCACCTAAAATCACTGGTCAATACAGGGTTTTCCTAATTAAACTAAACTTGATTAAAACTCTTTTGTTTCCTAAACAAATAAAAGCTGTAGTCTCCAATACATTTATTCTCTCAGTCGTTACTTCTATGCTGGCAGTAATTAAGTTCTGATTGTATCTGTCAGTCCTGAGAGCCACACTGCCTGGATGGAACCCTAGGAAAACTACACCCACTAAATGTGCCAGATATATCCCATTGTTATCCCTCTTTCTTCTGGATATACAATGAAGAAGTTCTCTTTGGGTTAGTAGGGGTTCCCACATGCAAATGTGGAATCTTTAGGTAATGAGATATAAGAGCATTCCTTGTGTCATTGAGATTGTGGACTAAGCCTAAAGGGTGGGATTTGCATAATATTGGCAAAGCAGCAGCAAGTAACTATTCTACATTTTAAGAGGCCATGTTGCCAGAATGTCGTGGAATGAATTTTAATGCTGCCTGGGTGGGTTACTTAGCAGTTTTCCAATTGTTTAGAACGGAAAATAGACATTAGAGATCCCTTTATTTTCTAATAGCTGTCCTAATCTTTTACCTTATTAGCAACAGTCAAGTCTCAAAGATATTTTCTGGTTTTCCTTCCAACATAGTAGTGAGTATTTGAAGTTCTACCAACAACCATGTTCCATTCTGAAATTTAATTACACAATCTTCATTTTAACCTAAGAGTTATTTCTGAATTAAACAGTAAGAAAGGAGGAAGGCAAGAAGGAAGGAAGGGAGGGAGGGAGAAAGGGAGGGAGGGAGGGAGAGAGAGAGGGAGGGAGGGAGGAGATTGCTAGACAAACAAAAACAAGATAAAAATGAGCCAGGCCATGTGTTTGATGACAAAGTTAATTACTGGGAGAATGGAGAATTGAACTATAACCTCTAAGTACTTCAAAGTACTTGAAATAATTAAATGTGTTTTAATGATTATTGGTTTTTCTCAGGAGCGTGATATCATATGCTGTTTATTTTGGAAAGTCTGAAAGTTATGAAAGAGTCCCTTTCAGGTAGGTCTCATATAAAATGAAAATAGAAAATAAAATGCATCCAAATGCAAACAAGAACAATGCTGAGCACTCTGGTTAGACACCAGGCAGGCAGGATGGCTGCAACTGAGTCATCAAGTTTTGCTGTATTCATTTGTTACACAACGTCTAGATCAGATAATGGGCAACTTCCCAGAAGCTCTTCCATTTAATGCGCCTGTCTAGACAGAAAGACAGAATGCCTCACATCATGAGAGGTCCATGGGTGGGCAAGATGGGGAGTGGTACTGTGCAACTGGAAAGGCAAGGCATCCCCACGTCCGTCGGAAGATGGCCTGATGGCCTGGGTGGCTTACAAACTGCAGAGCCTCTGGCATGTCACTGGGCCTCTCTGAGACTGTTCTTCCCGAACTCTTAGAAACACTGTATGTAGACGGACAGAAACCGTGTGTCTCCCATGCAGCCAGCTGTCACGGGGCTGTACAAAGCTCACTTCCTCTCAGATCAAAGGAAAATAAAATGTCAGAGCTTAGTTTTTATTAATGTGATTTCAGTAATGTATGAGCAGGTAGAAAAGGGAGTGTGAATACAGAGATGGCCAGATCTTGACTCCATCATTCCTAAGAGATAGAACACTGGGCAAGTGCATCATCCCGTGTTTATCTGTCTCCTTTCTAATAATGGTGCATGAAACCTTATGACAACGTATCTACACAGTACACAGAACAATGTGTGGGAGGGGAAACCGTCATGATAATGGCCATGGAGGTTCTGACTTAGCATCTCCTGCTTTTCCACCAATCTGAAGAAAATGGGCTATCTCAAGGCTGAAGACACACAGAAGGAAATTGCACAGTTATTTGAGAATCAGTGCAGAAATATACACACCTCCCAAGTGTCACTGATTGCCTTTTATTTAAACAGAAAGACACATCACAGGAATGTACTTGTGCATCCCATTAAAAAAAGAAATGAAATCTCCAGTCTGACACATCTCCCCAGCTCATCCTCTACAATAACATTTATTCTTTTTGCAGAAGAATGTGTAGTGCCAAAATGGCATTTATAAAATCTTTTACTGTTTTAGATGGGCAAGATTGGTTACTTTTAACAAAAGGCCTATCATGAGCAAGGGGAAGATTATATTTGAACAACCTATGATCTATTAAATGCCTAAAAGGTATTCTGAAGCATGAGACTCACTTAGGTTAATGCATTTAAACAAATTATGTACCTGAATTATTTAATATGATTAAACATCAAGAATGTCTATCTGCTTGAAGTATTTTGACCACTATATTGAAAAGTGAATGTGAGAAACACATCTAGTCATTAAACTATACCAAGTAGCAAAAGGAAAATAGCTGAAATATCCTACAATCCAACTAAAAGGAGGGCTTCTTGTATTGTGTTTATCGAATACCTTTAAGGATCTTTATCACTTATGGACTTGTGACGGTTTTTGTATTCGCCAACCTCACCATCATCCTGGACTCCTATCTCAATTTTCCTCTCCTTTTATCAAGCTTCATCTCCCCTCTTCCACTGGCACAGGGATACTGTATGTACACACATCTTCTCTGGTCAATGTTTCACACAGCAACAGGAGTACTTTTAGTTTGGGCAGTGCATCAAAATCTTCTAAGGATTATTCATCCTGCTAGAACTACCAGGGTTGACCTGGTGGGCCTGATAAAATTAGGGCAGTAGGAATCTTCTAGGTTCCTGTGGAACACCCTTGCATACAGCTCAGGCATAGAATCTCTGTGCTGAAGCATAGGGGACTCCTTGAGTTCTCTCCCTTTCAATTTGCTACGGCTGCTGCATCCTTTGGTTCAATTACTGCTGAGAAATAAGTCAATCTGAAGACCGAATCTCCACACTCCACTTCTGAAAGTGGCTCCTGTTTTTTAGCTGGTCATGTCTACATAAGTAACACAAAGGAAGTGGGTAGAAACTCTCCTGGTAGGCAGCCAAAGTCTCAGAGCATCTGAGGCCCCACAGTACCCAACTGTCTTGAACTTGGAGGTAGCCCTTTCCGTTGCCAACTGCATCAGAAGATGAAACACTTGGCATATATAAAGAACCGGATTTCTTTTTTTCTTATGTTGGCTGATCGCCAACATTTATCTGAATTTCTCCTTACAATGAATCCAGCAGAATCCAGATTGAGAGACAAGTATAGGGAGAGGTCAAGGGGGTATTTTAATTTGGATTTCATTGAGGCTTACAGCACGAATTGTCAGTGGGAGCCACATGAAGCACTGTGACACGGGCAGCTTAGATAATAGGCACGCATTCTCTCACCATTCTGGGGATGGCAAGTCTAAGATCAAAGTGTTGGCCTGACCTGATTTCTTGTGGGACTTCTCTCTGTGGCTGGCACTTCTCCCTCATACCCTGTTCCTCACACAGCACCCCCTCTGTGTGTGTCTGTTTGCTAATCACCTCTTAGAAGAAGGACATAGACCATGCCAAATCTGGTCCCATTCCTGTGACCTCATTTGAACTTAGTTATCTCTTGAAAGGCTGTATTTCTAAGCATAGTCATATTCTGAAATATGGGTTGGGGGTATACAGATTTGAAGCGGACAGAATTCAACCCATCAACCTATGACATGAAAGGATTTACCACCTCCTTGGCTTCCTCCAGCTGGCATTCCCACAGCATGAAACCATGAAACCATGGCTAAATGGTCCTGATTTACCATCTCCAGCATGAATGTGGAGCCTGGCATTCTGGGAACAAGCACTCTGCATACTTTTAAAATTCTGTAATGAATGGGTGTGGAAAGTTGAAACACCTCAAGAATGAAAAGGCTTGAAATAACTACAAAATATAGAGAGCTCACCGCCCCATGCAGAAGAGGTAAGGGACAGATACCATATCTTTCATGATTCTGCAAAAATCATACTGCAGATCATCTAAGAGAGGCTTGATTTAAAGTTTTCTGCATTATGAGTTCTGTTAGTTTATTTATCTTGTCTCAATTTGAAATTTGAGACAAATGTTATCTGTGTAACAGCCATCTTAATTGGCATGCTTTGCTGAAGCATCTAGTTTACTTCCTAACCCCCGAGGTGTTCATGTATGCAGCGAACTTCAACTTGAACTCAGAGACTGCCTATGGAGGGTGTCCTGTAGTGCTCACAAATGGGCAGTCTTCAACCACTTTTCTCCTAGAATATTTGTATTTCACCTGAGTCTCCTAGTCTATTAAAGCTGGCAGCATGGGAGTTTCTTACCTTGAGGCTTGGGCTTGGTGAGTTTGCCACAGGGCTTAGAGATGGTGACTGTCTTCTGGCAGTCGGCATTGTGGAGAGCTCGCTTTAGACTTCCAGTCCTGGTCTTCAAGGCAGTATTCAGGTCACATTCTCCCCAAGCCTGGAACTGGTATTTGCACTCAGCTAAAAAGCATAATAAATTGAAAGAACAATCCTTATGACAGCTTATTGTGGTGATAATACCTTTTTGTATTTAAGTCATTGTACAATAACTATGCAGTTATAAGAAATATGGTTCTATTTGTGTACATGCATGAACTCATATAGTTCTGTCTATATATATGCATGAACATGTATGGTTCGATCTGCGTGAATGCATGAACATGTATAATCCTATCCATGTGAGTGTATGTAATCAGCACCATTGATGTACATATAATCCCAATGCAAGGGTCTCATTGTCACCTTACACATAGTCACAGCCTTCTTACCTCATAATTTCCATACAACCACAAGTCTCTTCTCCAACTCATTTCATTCTATAAATGAGATTTTAAACCATGTAAACCTGTGTGACTGGCTGCTCTGGTGCCCACAGGATTTAGGAAATGGTGTGTGATCCTCTTGAACTGGAATAACTGATGGTTGTGAGGACCCTATGGTAGTAGAGGAAACCTAACCCAGATCCACTGCAAGAAAAACAGGTGTTCCTGACAACGGAGCCATCTCTGTGGCTCCAGGACTGGCTATTTCTTTACTTAGCATAGATTTCTGACAATCAACTCAAGTTGTATAAATCAATAGTGTATGCTTTTATACAACTGACTAACCTTCCATGATATGGATATACCAGTTTATTTATCCATTATCAACTAAAAGATGCTTCTATATTTTGGCTAAAATACACATGCAAATGCAAATTCTATATATCCACGTAAGGGATTTTGTGAAAACATTTTATTTTCTCTGGAAAAAAAAAACTGCTGAGTTGCATGGTAAAGTCAACTCGTGTTTAATTTCATACAAATATAAAACAAGCAACCACTCTGAAAAATAATATTCTTTTTTTTTTTAAATATGGCTGTGCCATTTTCTATTTCCACTGACAGTAAATACATGACCTAGTATCTCTGCATCTTCACTTCATAATGTTTCTATTCCAGGCATTCTGATGGGTACATAGTAACATGTCACCAGAATTTCAATCTCTCTTCCCTTAATAAGACAGAGAAATTGAATATCTTTCCAGGTGTTTATTCTATCTATATAGTCTCCTCTGAAAATATGTCTGTTGATATTTATTAACTATCTTCCTGGATAGTTAGGGTTGTTTGTTTGATTATTTGTTTTGATTCTATATTGACTTTTGAGATGTAGATTTATAGATGTTCACAACATGAGTCCTTTAATATATATCCCACAAGCTTTTTATCATTGAGTCTTAACCATGCCCCATACTACTTAATGTCTAATTTATATAACCTCTGTTGGAATTATGGCAATCAATGCCATTTATAAAACATGTACTCTAAAGTTGCAGAGGAAGTCAAGGCTACATGTGTGCATAGTCATTCTCCATATTTACTCGTTTTGGCCATGGTGTGTTTCTGTATAACACAAGTAGGACACTGGTAGTTACATCCTACGATGATGAGGAAAAACATAAAGTGTGTGATGTACAAGAAAAAGGCGTTTGGGATTTCTTTTCACTGGAGATGACTCAGTAAATAAAGGGCTTGCCTCACTCACACACACATGAGATTCAGAGTCTTCATTCCAAGACACACAAAAAGTTGGGCAGATGTGTAGCCCAGCTATAATCCCAGTCTTCTGGAGTCAGAGACAGGATCCCTGTGGCAAGTCGGCTACCGTGACTAGTGGGATCACTGAGTTCCAGATTCAACAAGAGGCCCAGTCTCATAGAGGGAACAGGAGAGCAACAGAGGAGGACAACCATCACCAACCATCATCTGGTATCCACACATACCCACACACATGTGACCTGAACATATATATACTCACAAGCACGCAAATGCACAAGCACACTACATAATACAAAACACACATACGCATGTTGATGAGTGTATGTGGTTAAAGATGGAAATGATGACTAATGGGTTAAAATAGGAAATGTTGAGAGAACTTGTCTCCAGCAGATAATATCAAAAGGGCATGAAACTGATGAGAGAGCTAAAAGTCTGCGAAACATGGCTGTGACCATGTCTCTTGGAGTCAGTGAGTCAATCTATGAACATATGTGGAGGATGGGAAGGGATAAAAAGAAAGAATAATAGCAAGGAACATGAAAAGGGAGGATAAATACAGAAGGGGAAGGTAGAAAGTGAAATGGAGGAGAAGATGGGACAGGAACGTTATTGGGAGAGCACCAGTGAATATTTTATGCCTATATAAGCAAAGATTCTTAACTACAACAGTTTGGGCTACCAAATGACATTTGCCCAGTTTTCCTGGCTGGTAGAGTAGGTTGTAATATGGTTAAATTTGTAATGGTAGATGACAAGGATGTTGCTAATTACCCTAAAATGTACAAGACATTTTACAACACATTACAACCCCTAATATTGCTAGGGCTGAGTCTAAGAGGAAAGCTGTCTGGTCACCTTGTGTCTAAGAAAATACATTTATTTAATTTAATATAAGCATGAGTTGGCCTTGAAAATACATTTAATAGAATTGTCCCCAAGAATTTCAGAATAGTAGATTAAAGCCATAGCAACGCAGGCTGAGACTGACCTCCAAACTGCTTCTTCCAGTTGCAAGGGATCTTACATCTCTGGGTCTTCATGGTTTGCTTGCACTCAGCACCGCTGCGGGTGCCCTCCCGGGTGCCCAGTCCACAGTCCCCGCTGGTGGGCACACACACACTCCACTGCCACTCTCCACAGTCAGATTTTTTCACCTTCTTTTCTGCAAGCAAGGAAACAAAAGCAATCACCATCCAAGTCCTCAACTCTTGGGTATGACTACGTTCACTCCTCAGAACCTCAATTGTGAGTCTATGACTCTAATTCACTATCTGTATTGCCCAGGAAGACACTGGGAAAATGACAGATGTCTTCTCAATGACAAAGTCAATGCACGGTTAAGAGGGGAGAGAAAGAAAATGTGGGGGCAGGAGACAGAACCCATACTACTAAATCATGTGTGTGTTCCTTTATTGCGGTAAATAAGGATCAGGATAAACAAATAGGCCGAATAGATGTTTATTCAGGGAGAAATAACTTACAACCTAGACAGATGAACACCAGGAAATTCAACCCGATCCTCTCCTGTCCGAGTCACGCCAGAAAGAGAGTGCCTTTCCTGGCCCCCTCCGACCTCCTTCCACAGGTCACTTCCGCCCATGGCTCCACCCCCCAATGGGCGTGGTCAGTGCCACAGAAGGACTATCTCACTACATTCCTTTTAGAAACAAATGTTTCTGAATGAAGGTGTTGTGCCTCTGCCATGCATGCCTGCAGTGATGGACCCACACCTCTGAACTCCTAAGTGAAATAAAACTCTTAAGTTCATTCCTCAGGTGTCTGAATGCAGCAACAAACAGCTAACTAACACACTTGTGCCAGATGGAATTTGAAGATTTGTATATCTTTGATGAAACTTTCAAGAGTATATAAAATTTTACATTAAAAAAGGAAATATTTTTTGGGAGTTTTGTTTGTTTGTTTGGTTAGTTGGTTGGTTTTTGTGTTTGTTTTTTGAGACAAGGTTTCTCTGTATCCCTTTGGAACCTGTCCTGAAACTTGCTCTGTAGACCAGGCTGGACTTGAACTCACAGAGATACACCTGCCTCTGCCTCCTCAGTGCTGGGATTAAAGGCATGTCCCACCAACACCCGGTTAAGAAGAAAATATTTTTATAAAAATAAAAAATTCTAAGTTGTTTATAAAAAGCTTAAAAATGAGGAGGAAATATCTATTAAAAGTGATAGTGGTCAGACTAACAATTCCATTGAAAATTGATGCTGTGGTTTTGTTCTATAGATAAAAAGGCATAATAGAAATGTGGTATAGGTCATAGACTAAAAGAGACCTCCAACACCACAGCAAGGGCATATTCATTCAGGAATAAAATGGGGCAATTTAGGGTTTCCCTAAATAATTGAAAGGAAGTTAGAAATCATGGGAGAACTAGAAGCAGGTACCATGCAAGGAAACATCTCTCCACGACTCTACAGCTTACCCGGCTTCTCTTTCTTCCCAGCCTCAGCAGTGTCCACAGCTGCTAAGATGAAAATAAATGCCAAGAAGGCAGCTGCAAATTTTCGGCGTTGCTGCTGGTACTGTTGAGACGACATTTCTGGAAATGAAGAGAAAGAGAAGAAGATGATTTCAACCTAAGTCAGGACTAAGATTCAACTCTCTGATGAAGCATCCTATGAGAAGCCTCTGGAACACTGGGTTAAAGGACAATTGTAAATAGAATTTGATCCTTTCTCCCCAACAGCTGCAAAAGCATTAAGTCACACGGCCATTGACAGTATTCAACCATTCTTCATATCAGATTTCACAGCCATTTGGTATGTGTGACTCCGGGGTTGGGAAAGCAAGAGAACCTCCTAGTGTGATTTTGAGCAGATTCCTACAATCACTTTTGCTGCTCACATCACTTGCTAATAACAACTACAGTCGTCTTCAGGATGCCTGGAAGTTCCTGGAAACATTCATGGCGTCACAGTCACAGGGCACTTCGGCATGGCCGAGGCATGTGTGTGCTGTGTGCTTTATGTTTAGGTACATTTGCCAGTGAGCAATATCACTGATTCTTATCTACCCATGTTCATTTTAAAACCAGTGTCTTCTCAGTACTCAACAGAATGAAACACAGAAATAGTACTGGTGTGCTATACACTAACAAGTCATAAATGGATTTACTCAAGAACCACTAAATCCTCAGATCTGGGGAACAATGATTGTACTGGCTCAGAAATTGAAATACTCCTCATCTCACATAAATCAAAATCCCTAGATAATACTAAGAGATCCCTGTTATACTTATGGGTACTTGTGATAACCCTCTGTCCAGATGTTCACCTTGCCTAAACACCCCCAAGTAACCCATTGACTGTGGAAATGTTGACAGCCATTTCCCTCCATCTGCTGTATTAATGGGGTTGTATAGATCACATGATCATGTACAAATCATCTTCGGTTATTATTAGTGTGTTCTGTCTTCCTTTTTTTTCAAACTAGCAATAGATTAATTTTTAATGATTTTATAATTTCTTTAGTAAGTAATAAGACTACTGTGTGTGTGCACTCATGTGTGTGTATGGTTATAATATGTATGTATGAATATGCACATGTGTGTGCTGGTGCTCACTCTGTTATGAATCTTGTTTTTCTAATTCACAAATATCTTTAAAAAATGATATCATGGTTACTAAGCTTATATCAATTTCCACGATGTTAGAATTCTCACTTATTAGAGTTGCATTTTGTTTTGCTATCAATGACTGGATGGATAGTATGAATAAGCATATTTACAAACTAAAAATAAATATTTTTACCACTTAGCCCTTTAAAACATGAACTCTGCTTAGCTACTCAACACCATTTCCATCCTCATCAACAATCCAGTATTATAAGTTTTGCTCTGCCTAAGGCTGTGTTCTTATGATGGTCTCACTGAACTGTCCCTAGCAAATCAGGTGAGTCCTCACCTTGTGATCAGATGACTTGCTGATTTGCAACCTTGTCAGAGTTCTAAGAGATGAGACTCTTGTGCACCTCTGTGATGTATTTTCTCCCAGGACATTCAAACATCACAGAGTGAACCAGAACCCTTGCTTCCCCTAAAGGCTGCCTAAGCAACTTCCGTCAGTACCTAAGCACTGTGGTGAAACTTTGGAGAATTCATAAAATTCACTAAAAAAAAAAAAATTAACTCTTTCATTTGGGACTTTTCAATTTTTATTTCAACTCAGATTTTACTTTCATGTGTAAAACTTACCTGCAATTTACCTTAAATATATTGTTATGGCATAGATTATTGTGAGACTCTAAACATTCTCAGTGAGGAAGCACAACTCTGTAGAAAACTTTCTGACCTAGCAATGGGGTGATGATCTCCCTGGTCTTAATAAATGCATCCAATGAAGAGGTCAGAGGTCATTCTGATTAAGCCAATATCTTAGGGTTTTATGGGAATATAAAAAGAATAAATACTTAAAAGAAAAAAAAAATGGAATGCTTAAAATTACCCAAGTGCACCAAACAGTATTTAATACCATTTGAGTGCTCCCAACACCTCCCTGATCCAATAAATATGTGAGTAATTAGTATATGTGCAGACAGCAGCCTGCATGTGGTATCTGAATGGTTGGCTATTTATCCTCAGCATCAAATAAGAGCAAAAGCTTTCCCTGCATATAGTTTAACTTTGCTTGTTCTCCAACATGCTGGGTACCAGATGAACACCGAAGTAAGAACAAGCCCCCCTCAGACACACATAGCAATTAGGGAAGTGGCTAATTATTTTTCACACTGAGAACAAGAAACAATGGCAGAATAAAACTTACTAAATTGGCTGAGTTCTTTTGAGAAACGTCTTTATTTCTTACCACCTTCTGTCATCTTTGCTATATTTGACCTGAGGGTTTAACAAATTGGAGGCCACCATAAATGGGTGCTGGGATAGGGTATATACTGTTGAGTTATCTCAATGAAGCCTGAAACTCAATGACAAATGAAGGAACTAACTGGAGAACAGCACTCACTTGTTAAACTTCCGCCTCCTCTGAGACAGGGCTGATTAGGGTTTGCAGGGAACTCCTCCTTCCTACAGCATTCTAGTGGGGTCTAAGATTTTAAAAATGGAACAGCTGAGGTAAATATAGACAAGGATACTGGGAACTGCCCCTGTGTGCCCTATTTAGAAAGACTAATGTAGTACCTGGAGGCAGAAATTTTTATTCAAATGTTAATTCTACCACTGATTTTTCTTTTCTGACTGTCTTTGAACAAAATCCGGACATCCAATTGAACTGGTTTTGATATTAAAAAAAAAAAAAATAGTGGGAGTAAGTTGTAGGAGTGGTAATAAAACCACTGCTGGGGATGCTTCTCATAAAAGCTACCTGATACAGACATAGAGATAATATGGAATGTTAGAAATTACATTATCAGCTTGGCCTAGCTCTACAGCTACATGGTTTGCATATAAAGTGTCCCTTTGCAAATTAGAAGCTCTCACAAATCTAGCAAGTAAGCTTTGAGGAAGTGAGTGGACTGTTAAGGGACTCTGCCTTTATCAGAGATTTCATCCTTAATAAATTAAAAGTTTGAATAGATTATTAAAAGACAGTAGAACTGTAGAAGGTGGAGCCTTTTGAGGTAGTAGGTCACTAGGAATATGTCTTTGAAGGCCATGTCTTACTCTGCCCCCTTTTTGTTACAACTCTCTGCTTCCCCACTCCATGAGATGGACAGACATGCACCTACAGGATTCTGTGTCATCTTATCAGCCAACATAGGGTAAATTATTTGAAGCAGTGAACCAATAGACATATTTTCTTCTTTAAACTATTTTGACTGTTTTTCACAGTGTTGAAAAGTCTGACTAATGCAAAATGGTCTTTTTATTAAAAAAAAATATAACAAACATCACATTTGGCATTTTTTATTATATTAAAGCAAACCCAAACAAAATGTCACAAGACAGAGAAATGATTTAATAAAACCAGCTAAAGGCTCCTTCAGCTTTCACAGGACACAAATTCATTCTGCTTTTACTTTTTGGAAGCATAATACAAATTCCAGAAACAATTCAAAGTGTATCCTTTGAGTCCAGAGCCCATTGTTGAAAATTAGTGACTATGTCAATGCAATTCAACTTGTATGAAGTGAAGGAAATCACCTCAGTTTATAATTATATTCTACATTCTTCCACATGGAACAACATTCCTCCTCCACCTTGCTATTTGATGTAGCTAAGACAAAGAGAGCCTCAGTGCTCAGAAGTAGCTTCTAAAACTTCAGTTTTGAAAAGATCACAGAAATATAACAAAACAGAAGAGTGAATTTTTAAACTAAATACTATCTTAGCTCTTTGGACCACAGGGTGTATAATACATTGACACTGGGCTGGGAACAGGCATTAGTCTCTCCAGTGTGTAAAGATGATCAGGAAGTGACTGGAGACGGATCTGAATCCATTCACACCACTGGAATAATCTAGGCATTTTGTGTTCTGCTTTCCTTAACTCTTATGAAACAGTATATTTTTTAGCTTTGTAAATTGTAAAATGGAACATAAGACATTGAAAATCATGCAAAGACACAGACTGTCTGGGTGAACCTTTATGAAAATAGAGCCCCGTTTCAGGTACATCAAGGACTTTGCACAATCCTTGTCCCAAATACAGCTCATGCCTCAACAAGTAACTCACAGGGGATCCTTTCCTTGTATCATTTGAGGGTTTTATTTAAATATGTTTTAGACTTTCCTAATTTAAAAAAATTTCTGAATGCTTTGTATTTGCTTCTAACATGCAATGATAGTCATCCACTGGCTTCTAGTTCTTACTTTTTAAATTCTTACAAAATACAAACCGTTTAGTCAATAATATCCCATGTTGTGGATGGTGGTAATCACACATTTAGGTTCAATTCAATATTCCTCCGTTCAGCTAAAAACTAACAATTGGCTACGGAAGTCTTCTCAGAATGATTTATAGAATTCAGTAATTAGCCTTTGATGTCTCTTGTTTGACCTCATTCTTCTCACTCTACTAAAATCTCTGAATCACTCAGTTTCCCTAAGTTTAACATCAGTTTCTTAGTTCACCAGTAGACAACTAGTCACACATAATTTAAAAATTAAAACAAACCAAACATATTACATATTTCAGTAATTAATATCTACCTTTCTGAAGAAAAAATAAAGACAACCATGTACTTATTTAGACAAACATATTACATATTTCAGTAATTAATATCTACCTTTCTGAAGAAAAAATAAAGACAACCATGTACTTATTTAGACAAACATATTACATATTTCAGTAATTAATATCTACCTTTCTGAAGAAAAAATAAAGACAACCATGTTCTTATTTAGACAAAATATCCCAGGGATTTCCCTTGTGTGTTATGGCTTGGCAATATGCTAAGAAATGCATTTTGATTAAAAACATGCAGGTTTTAGCTCTGGCCCCATCAATCTTTGCAAAACGTGCAAGTTTCTTGAAAATTGCTATCTCTGCCTAATTTAGCTCTGAATGTTCAGAAGCTTGCAAGAATTAGGAAGGGAAAACAAGTCAACTACAACAAGAACTCAAGAGAAATGAGTATACTTGA